AAATATTTTATAAGCCTTTTGATTCGCATTGAATATGAAATGGATAAATTAAACATGTTGTTCTTCCTGACAAACCCAACGAATCCAAAAAAAAAAAATATATATTATTCTACCTACTAACTCTATCACGACTACAACCGAAAAGAATTTATCTAAACTATTGAGGACAATACAGATGATTCGGAAAGAGTTGGATGATATATACAGTCAACATCATGGTGTTTGGGGTGATTGCTAGTGATAACAACTTTATGCCTCCATTAATCTTCACACAGGGCTTCTGACTCAATACGGAGTCATAGAGCTTTTCTATTTAGGAATATTTTATAAGCCTTTTGATTCGCATTGAATATGAAATAGTTAGGAAAAAGATAAATCAGACAAGCTGTCCTTCCTGACAAACCCGACGAACTCCAAAAACATATTATTCTACCAACTAAGTCTATCATGACTACAACTGAAAAGAATTTATCTAAACTCAACATAAATATTTGTTTCAACTCCATCTAAAACAATAAAAGACTTAATCAATACAAAACAAGAAGCCAAAACTTGAAGGCGGAATTTACTCAATCAACTGCAAGGATTTCCAGAAGCCACAAGAAGTTTAAACAAAAGGCTATATGAACACAAAAAATACATTTAAAAAAATAATAATACCCAAAACGCTTTGAAATAGACCACAATTTTGACATGAAAAAAATGCTACTTGAATTAAAAGAGAAAATAATTCACTAAGACGAAAATGTTTAGAAAGTGTTTTAATGTCTAGGAACTTTTTAGAAAAAGTCTGTCTGGAAAGTTTTTTAACGTCTAGAAAATATCTAGAAAGTGTTATAATGTCTAGAAAATGCCTAGAAAGTGTTTTAATGTCTAGGAAATTTTTAGAAAATGTCTGTCTGGAAAGTTTTAACGTCTAGAAAATATCTAGAAAGTGTTATAGTGTCTAGAAAATTCCTAGAAAGTGTTTTAATGTCTAGGAAATTTTTAGAAAATGTCTGTCTGGAAAGTTTTTTAACGTCTAGAAAATGTCTAGAAAGTGTTTTAATTTCTAGAAAATGCCTAGAAAGTTTTTTAATGTCTAGGAAATTTTTAGAAAATGTCTGTCTGGAAAGTTTTTTAACGTCAAGAAAATGCCTAGAAAGTGTTTTAATGCCTAGGAAATTTTTAGAAAATGTCTGTCTGGAAAGTTTTTTAGTGCATTAAACGTTAATTCACCCACAATAAATTCACGTCCAGGTTCATACAACGTTTCACCATTCTTGGCAGATTTTCTCTTAACACAATGTTGCATATTTAATAACAAAATTGATGGAAAGATAGAAAAAGAATATAGATGAATTCGTTGGAAGTTTTGACGATAAGAGGGGCAATAAATTAATTTGCCAATAATGTGAAGGTGTTGTTTTTTCTTATATTAAATACGTTGATGTCTGTTGCATTTGAAATTATCCCATTCCAGTAGATCACTGCTCTATTAGTTCGTATACCGCATTATGATAATATTCCGCGACAATCGGTCATATTATGCATAATACTACTCTTAGCTTTATTATCGAGAATTGTCAGCTCAGCGCACTCTCAATGAATTTTTTTCTTATTGAAATCTTTTCTCTTCTGATCAGAATGGCGTTTATTAAGTGGCCCAAACAAATCCCAACGTATTAAAAAATAAAAATTACTTGACAATGCTTCATCTAATAATAATAAATTCCAACATAATATAATTAATAATGTTACTTATGTAATAATAAAAAGGAAATAAAATTCAGATGAATAAGGTACTCAGTAGAAATTAATAATTAACAATTCTGCATCTAATAATAAAATTCAAGATAATATGCGGGTAAATCCTTTACTGAAAAGTTGCATGATGCTAATTATGTTGGTGATATCAAATGAAATTGAAACGGGATAAGAAAATAAATGCGAAACTGAAAGTGAAAGTGAAAGTAAAACGGAATAAGAGTAAACGTGACACAGAATAAGAAGATTGAATGTGAAACTTAATATGAAACTGAAAGTGAAACCGAATAAGAAAATTTCAAAATTGATTTTACTTTTTGATTTACCTCATAACACCCTTGAGCGCTTAGCCTTGGAGCGGGTAGAATGGAGAACAACGTGTTTTAGTGGACTCAGTGGTTTTCAATCAGCTTGTCTGAATCGTCTTCAAGAAGCGAGAGCAAGATCTAAAAGGTCGGCTAATCTAACAGTGATCCCATCCCACAATCCTCACTCTTACTCCATATGCGGCCTTCTTTGTAAATCACTAGCGGGTCTTAAGTGCCACTTAAGATTATCGCACAAAATTTCACAACTGAATCAATTAAGCTGTCAGATCCTCATACGTCGAAACCGACGGGAGAGTCCATTATATATATCGGCACTACCAAAGAAACACGATACCTATGGTTTAAATGAATTTGAAAAAATGAAAAATCGTTCTTGAAGATTTTTAATTCAATTTTAATATCAAGTTCATTGATTAAAGCTAATATTTTCAATAAGCAAAATATTTGTTGGATTTCAAAACTAATTTAAATTAACTTTTTTTTTTAAGCGTTTCACCCCAAGCAAGGCGGGAAGCCACTAGGACGCAAGGAGTTACAGAAGATTTGGAGCAAGATCAGATAGGAGTGATAGAGGAAAGGATGAGGAGAAGGGTAGTGGATAGATCAAGGCAACTGGAGAAGTCGATTGACTGCAAAATTTTATTTTAAATCGCTAAAAATCATTGATTTTTCCATTTATGCTTTTACCATTTATGATTAGTAAATATGGATTTTGCGTAATAAGAATATCACATAACCAGTTTGAATTTATATAAGGTTTTAATAGATTTAAAACTTTATAAAAATTTGTAATCAAATTTAAAAAAAAAAAAAGTGAAGACAATTCTTGTAAAAATTCATTATTCATTGAAAAAGCTTTTTCTTAACACAATAGTGTCCATAATATATCTTAGCCATAAAAGCAAGTAAAAACTTTTCTAATTAAATAGTGTCTTATTTTTATTGCATTCTTTTCTTTTTTTTTTTTAGAAAAATATGACATACTGGAAAGGTTTTCTTTTTGTGACGCGTTTCATCCGTTAGGATTTCATCGGATTGGGCTTTGATGACTTTGCCACGTCTACGCATGCGCACGAAACGAAAGACGCAGGTAGTTTCAAAATTTTTGAAAGAATATTTTTGAGAGAATATTTTTTTCAATCTAGCCGAATCATCTGTACATTGGAAAAACCTTAAGAAGTTTACACAAGAGACTATATGAACACAAATGTGAAAAAAAAAATATTTTTACGAAGATTTTCTAAGAATGAAACATTTCTTATTATTTCATTCGTTTGTAAATAAATGCTCAAAGTTTCATTAAAATCTGAGAATTATTTGACTTTTGAAAGAATTTCCAAATCAACGTGTTTTCACTACAAAACAACAACAAAAAAAACGCTAAAATTTTCTATACAATTAAGTATTAACCAAAATTTCGAAAGTTTTAAAAAGGATCAAATAATATGAGTTGTTAATTAAAAAAAAGTTCGTCTTTCTTAATAATAACAAAGTTTTTGACGATAAAACTTTTGTTTTTATTAAGTTTGTAGCCTTTTTCATCATGTACAGTCATTTTTGAGGAACAGATTGGAAAAATTTCTTTATTGATATGTTTAGCCGATCAAATCTATTAGGTTGGTGCAAAAATAATAACGTAAGAATGTCGTTTTTTGACATTAAAAAATACGTCAAAAAACGACATTATTACGTCATTATTTTTGCACCAACCTAATATTAAACGTATTTTATTTCAACTACATTTTCGCAAGAGAACATTATTCATGTTAAACATATGAATGCTATTTTTTAAAACCCAACCTGTATTGATATTCGAATTAGATTTTACTAATTTGAAGTTTTTGTTTCTTATAAGGAATTTGTATCCTAGATGTTTCCATCAATTGAGTAATAACATGTAATAAACTGAAATCACATCGGCGGATGTGATCTTATCACGCCGATTCGTAGGTCAGATAGTCGTAGATTCAAGGCATTTTCATTTGAGTAACCTGGCTTCCAGTTCAGAATTAGGACTGCGAATATACCAGAATGTTGAGTTCTTTTAATTTAAGATCGATATTTCAAAACCAAACATGGCAACATAGAAGTTTATTTCCAAGCTGTCATATATACCATTTCGTAGGATTCTTGTAGCAATTTATATATATACATACATAAACACACACACACACACACACACACACACATGCACACACGCACGCACATACACACACACACACACACATATATATAAATATATATATATATATGCATGTAACGTGGGTGAGTATATATATATATATATATATATATATATATATATGTGTGTGTGTGTGTGTGTGTGTCCTGCCTAAAATACAACACACCGTATCGGTCAATATAAAAATCTCAAAATTATAGAATAAATTCTCAGCTGGTTGAAGCGACTACTACTAACCGCTAATCCCTTAGCCCTTTTTTTACCCACCCCTTTACTTTCACCTTCCCTCTCCACTACTAATCTAATGTGTCCGTCCGGTGTACTTTCTCCATTTACGGAGGAGATTTCGGTCTGAAGAGTTGAACACCTTGGTGTACACGAAATAAATTATAATCGAAATGGATAATTGAAATCTCCGTCTTCTTATGATTATAATGCTCTGTAGTCTACATTGAGCTCTCCTTGGATTTATATCCTCCTGGGAATTCAGTCACAAACTGGTAAGACGTGTATATATATATATATATATATATATATATATATATATATATATATATATATATATATATCACATATAATGCTGGTGTTAGTAGAACAGTGCTCGATGTAATAAAACAAAGCTGTTAAGTAAACATTAATAAATATACATATTTTCCCTCACCGGTAGCATGACTCGGAGTTTCAAGCTGAACGCAGTCTTCAGGTGCTGAGTATAGAATGACCGTTGCTTAATCTAAAATTTAATAAAAATATTTGGTTAACGTAATATTAGCGCAGTTATATGTTATAAAAGTTACATTTTTTATTTTTATATTTGAATTTATATATATATATATATATATTTATATATATATATATATATATATGTAAAATATTAGAGTTGTGGATATTTTGTTGATATTAAGCATAAAAGGAGATTAGGTGTAGCATTATATGGTTTAATACTCTATAATCGTAATGTTCAAGCAAATATCGGAAGGATTTTCCTACATTTAATTCATAAGCACTTTAACCATTTACCAACACTAAAAAAGATATTTAACAAAAATAGTGTTAAGATCAGCTGTAGCTACGTTAATAGAATCAATAAATCTATATCACAACATAACATATTAAATAAATATATTTCCAACAAAGATAACGTTAATTTTTTGAAAATAAATGCAACTGCCGAAAAAAAATGATCTGTCCCTTAAACGGCCAATGTATGACGGGTAATATTTTATACCGAGCTAGTATATATTCCGGTAACGATGTCAAATTTTATTTTGGGTCCACTGAAAGTCCTTGGAAAATTTCGTTTCTACCATCATTGAATGACTTTAGGCAATATAAAATCCATAAACTGCACTGCTCTCTTAAAACATTTCTGGCAAAACAATTCTGGGATATTGTAGTTGTAATTTATGCCTTGCTTAAAACAGTTAAATAACCCTAGCTTATTAAACAAGAGAAATGAATTTATGGTTACATGTAGGACTAAAAACAAATATCATATGAAATACGTTGATCCAGATTAATTTTTAATGTTTTTTTTTAATTTTTTAAAAGAAACTGTAATCTTCCTTTATGCTTAATATAAAAAAATTAATATTCCCAACTCTAAAGTAATTTTTTTACATATATATTTGGCTAAATATGACACGTATTATGTCAAAAAAAGAAGACACTTATCTACACAGAAGAAAAATACAAGAAAAAAATGGAATAAAAGTTAACAAAATATAATAAAAAAGTTAACAAAAGTGTCCTGTCAGTTTTAGTTAACATTTCTTAAAAGTGGATTGCTACCTAAAATACCTAACTATATATATATATATATATATATATATATATATATATATATATATATATATATATATATATATATATATATATATATATATATGGATGCAACTATAGACACAACTGAAAATATAGATGTACACAAATATATATGATACTCAATTATATATATATATATATATATATATATATATACACACACTCAAACACACAGAGACATATATAAATGAGTTTACATTTACTCTCCTCATATGTCTGACCCTTATTATGTCAAGAAAAGAAGACACTTGTTTACATACAAGAAAAATACAATAAAAAGTTAACAAAATATAATAAAAAGTTAACAAAAAGTGCCCTGTCAGTTTTAGTTAACATTTCTTAAAGATGGATTGCTACCTACGTAACTATATATATATATATATATATATATATATATATATATATATATATATATGAAAATATAGATGTAAAAAATATATAGATGTATATATATATATATATATATATATATATATATATATATATATATATATATATATATATATATATATACACACACAAAGACATATATAAATGAGTTTACGAAGACATTTACTCTCCCCATATGTCTGACCCTGTTGATATCGAGCTTTAGTAAAAAGGCTTTGAATATCAAGGAATTAGTTCTGCCTCGGCTGTTCGCTCATCCATTCCCGACCCAACCAGCGTATCAACTTTTTGACTCTATATCCCGTGATAATGTTAAACTTTAGAGAGCGAAAAACGGCCCTTCCCTTTCTTCCTGACTTACAAAACGCCCCTCTCCACCCCCACCAACACCCTCGACCTTCTTCCGTTCATTGGTTCTTTCCATAACTCTCTTCCTTTTTTTTTTTCCTCCTCTTTTTATCATATTTTGTTTTTCATTTCGGGTCCGTTACTACTTTTAGCTACTTATTTTGTTGTATCTATGTTTTTATCAAGTTGAGACCCCCTGTTGAATATTACGCACGCTAGATGGCGCTGATGATCACGTTGATCTCGCCTCAAATGACAGTTACGTGTGACTTTGCATCAGAGTTCTTGATCTTGAGGTGGAGGCCATTTTCCTTCTCTTCCAGAAACTTACCGCCATCTTGACAATCTTACTTCTTTGCGTTTTTCCTTGTCGGTTGAATTTTTAAAATTTTATTTTCATTTTTGTTCTCTTTCTTCTTTCTTAATCTTACTTTTTCGCTTGTTTTCAATTCTTTTGTTCTTTCCTTTTATTTTTGTAATTTTTTTTCGTAATTTTTTGTACTTTTCCTACATTTCATTTTGTTTGTTTGTTATTCTTTTTTATTTCATGCGTCCATTTTTGGGTTTCTTTCTTTTTTCTTTATTTATTTATTCATTTCTTTCTTTTGTTTCTTTCTTTTTTCAATCCCTTAATTTAATTTCTTTCTTTCTGCCCTACTGTCTTTCTTTATTCATTCATCAGTATTTCTTCCTTTCTTTATTCATTTTCTTTCTGTTTCTTTTTTTCTTTCTTTATTCATTTTCTTTCTATTTCTTTCTTACTTTCTTCATTCATTTTCCTTCTATTTCTTTCTTTCGCACTTTCTTTCTTTCTTCATTTATTTTCATTCTACTTCTTTCTTTCTTTCTTCATTCTATTTTATTCTTTCTTTCTTCATTCATTTTCCTTCTATTTCTTTCTTTCTTTCTTTCTTACTTTCTTCATTCATTTTCCTTCTATTTCTTTCTTTCGCTCTTTCTTTCTTTCTTTCTTTATTCATTTATTTTCATTCTACTGCTTTCTTTCTTTCTTCATTTTATTTTATTCTTCCTTCATTCATTCATTTTCTTTCGATTTCTTTCTTTATTTATTCATTAATTTTTCCTTCTATTTTTCTTTCTTTATCCATTCATTTTCCCTCTGTTTCTTTCTTTTTTTATTCATTTATTTCCCTTGTAGTTCCTTCTTTATTCCTTCATTTTCCATCTATTTCTTTTTTTCTTTCTTTCTTTATTCATTCATTTTCTATTTCTTTCTTTCTTTATTCATTCATTTTCTTTCTATTTCTTTCGTTTTTATTCATTCATTTTTTCTTTCTATTTCTTTCTTTCTTTCTTTCTTTCTTTCTTTTCTTTAAAATCATTTCATTCCTTTTTTTCTAGATTTCTTTTTAAAAACCCGTTTCTTCTTCCCGCCAATTTCATACTTATATTCTTTTTTAACTTCTGTGTGTGTTTTTTTCCTTTTTTTCTTTTCATCATTCTCTATTTTCTACCTTTATATATTTTTCTCTTTTTTCTTCACCCATTTGCTTCAATCACTTTTATCTGTGTGCGATAACATTACGCCGTATTCACCCAAGCAAATTAGGTGGAAGACAGATTTTAAATTCTTCACTTTCAAATCCCTCGATACGCCATCCATCTAATCCACACACGTACACACACTGGTAATTTCACGCACACTCACGCACACAGGTCCTCACAGAGAGACACAGGAACACACGTGTATACACCCCCTCCCACACACACGTGAGAACACAATCTCTCACCAGACCACCCTTTTTTTTACATACAAATTACCTCCCTTTCATTTCACACATGATTTTCTTCCTCTGTTGTTAGAGCACCGAGAGTTGATATCTATCTATCTATCTATCTATCTATCTATCTATCTATCTATCTATCTATCTATTCTTCTCATTACTATCTAAAATCTATCTATCTGTATCCTTTCATCTATCTATCTATCTATCTATCTATCTATCTATCTATCTATCTATCTATCTAAAAGACATCGAAAAAAACACAAATCTATCTATCTTATCAATCTCAGTCTTATCTATCTATCTATCTATCTATCTATCTATCTATCTATTCTTCTCATTACTATCTATCTATCTATCTATCTATCTATCTATCTATCTATCTAAAAAGACATCGAAAAAACACAAAAGAGCCATCTTAATGTCTTCATATCAATCTCAGTCTTATCTATCTATCTATCTATCTATCTATATATCTATCTATCTATCTATCTATCTATCTATCTATCTATCTATCTATCTATCAGGTCATCCCATAAGTTCTGTCCGAATTTTAACTTTTTGTTAAAATGAACGAAATTTAAAGAGTATTTTATAATGTCTAATGGAGCTGAACAGTATTTTTTGTTTTGATGCATTTAAACTGATCAAATTTTATTTCAGAGAACAATAAATTTTTTTTTTTATTAAATCTCTGCTAACATGGAAGTACTCAAGAATAATTTGAGGCACATAATGATTTATGAATTCAAGAAAGGAAACTCAGCAGCCGAAGTGGCTAGAAACATTCACTCAGTTTATGGAGAGGAATGTGTGAATGAAAGAACTTGCAGAAGACGGTTTGCAAAATTCAGAGGTGAAGATTTCACCCTTGATGATGAAGATCGAACTGGACGTCCAGTTGAGTTTGATGAAAAGCTTCTTGAAACAACCCTTGAAGAAAATCCTGCTTTATCAGTTGAGGAATTGGCAGTGGTTCTCAGTACAAACCAAGCAACAGTTCATCGTCATCTTCAACAACTTGGAAAAGTTCCTAAACTTGGAAAATGGGTACCTCATGAATTGTCTGAAAACAACCTCAAATCCCGAGTTGACATCTGCTCTTCTCTCCATTCTCGCCAACTTGTTTCACCTTTTTTGGATAGACTTGTGACTGGCGACGAAAAATGGATCTTTTATCGAAATGTTAAGCATCATAGACAGTGGCTTGGTAAAGGGGAAGGACCCCAGCCACACCCGAGAATGGAACTTCATGGGCAAAAGATTCTTCTTTCAATCTGGTGGGATCGCCAAGGAATAATCCACTTTGAATTCTTACCACCTAATGCAACAATTAATGCTCAAATATACTGTCAGCAATTAGAGCGTTTGAACCAAGCTTTGAGGAAAAAAGACCCGCTCTAGTGAATCGAAATGAGGTGATATTTCATGAGGACAATGCGCGACCACACACAGCAAGAATCACGTGACAAAAGATCGAAGAACTTGGTTGGGAGAAAATTCCTCATCCACCTTATTCTCCCGATCTTGTTACTTTAGACTACCATTTGTTTCGTAACTTAGAGAATCATTTGGAAGAAAGAGCTTTTGTAACACAGGAGGAGGTTAAAACTGACATTTGTGAGTTCTTCGAATCAAAGCCAAAATAATTTTACAGTAATGGAATTAGTAAGCTTGTTAATAGATGGAAGGAAGTCATAGGTAATCAGGGAAAATACATTGTTGAGTGAATCTGTAATAAAATGTCATTTTTGGTCACTTGTTTTCTTTATTCAAAATTCGGACAGAACTTATGGGATGACCTGATATCTATCTATTTAGAAAGACATCGAAATAACACAAAAGAGCCATCTTAACCTCTTCATATCAATCTCAGTCTCATCTATCTATCTATCTATCTATCTATCTATCTATCTATCTATCTATCAAATCTATCTATATATATATATATATATATATATATATATATATATATATATATATATATATGGGAAATGGATTAAATCCGCCATTTATTCATAATTAATTTATTTATTTTAAACATTATTTTTGATGGATACTCATATTCGAATAGAAACTCTGTTTTTTTAATTAAACTGTATTTTTTATCCAAGTCCATCTATCCGCCTGAATATTCTAGAAATCTTGTCAGAAAAATATGCGTCCTACGGCACGATTCTAACCTGCATTCCTTATGGGGAAACGTCATTGGATCTGACGTGCATATATATATATATATATATATATATATATATATATATATATATATATATATATATATAAATATTAAAATACAATAAAGCTATTGATATTAGCAAATACTATATTTAAATAATACAATTTAACATATAATAAATATACTGAGAGTCCCGATGAGTGATTAAAAAATTGACCTTTGATAAGTACACTAAGAAACTTTTTCTTCTATAATAATAATAATAATAATAATAATAGATAATAGATAGATGAGATAGACAGACAGATACAAATAGATAGATGAGATATGAACAGACAGATAGATAGATATGAACAAACTGAGATAGATAGATAGATAGATATGAACAGACTGAGATAGATAGATAGATAGATAGATAGATATGAACAAACTGAGATAGATAGATAGATAGATAATGAAGAGATGACAGACAGACTGAGAGATAGATAGATATGAACAAACTGAGATAGATAGATAGATAGATAGATAGATATGAACAGACTGAGATAGATATGAACAAACTGAGATAGATAGATAATGAAGATATGAACAGACTGAGATAGATATATAGACAGACAAACAGATAGATATAGATAGATAGATAGATAGATAGATAGATAGATATAAACAGACTGAGATGAGATATGAACAAACTGAGATAGATAGATAGATGTGTGATATCAGACTGAGATAGACAGATAGATAAGTGTGTGGATCACGCACACACAACTTTATCACTCGCGCTCCTTATTTATTAATTTATTTTTATTTAATTTATTTTTACGGGTTTATTTGATGTCGGCCGGATGTCTGAATTGTCCCCTACAGGTGATTTGGGTTAATCATGTGTTTTTTTTCAGCCTGGGGAAATAAAAGGTTTATTTGATTGCGTGAAACATGGAAACAAACAGTATGTCATTGTGCTCCAGAAATTTAATCTTTATTTTATATATATATATATATATATATATATATATATATATATATATTTATATATATATATATATATATTGTCGAACCCTATGCACAGCAATATCTATTATTTCTATACAGACCTTGGAATGGGTTTTGGTTTTTTCCAAAACAAAATAATTTCCATAATTGAAGATGTGATTTACAGTCGATCATGCACATATTTTTACCATAATTTTAAACAGCCTGGGTTAAATCTTTAAAAAAGGAAAATTTCGCCATTTTATATCAAATAATTTATTTTCGTCTGAATGATTCATTGTAATATAAAATCCACAGACAGTTGTTTCCTCTAGATCCGACTGCATCAACGAAACCCGACCGATTTAGTAGCAGATTCAGTGATTCTATCATATATATATATATATATCATATATATATATATATATATATATATATATATATATATATATATATATATATATATATATATATATATATATATATATGGATTCTCCTGTAGAATTCGGCGTATGAGGAAAAAAGTCCGCTACTGACATGGATACAAGTTCATACACACACACATACACACACACAAACACACACACACACATTTATATATAAAACACACATACATTACACACACACACATATATATAAATATAGTATGAATTATTCATACAAAAAACAAATACAAAGGTTAAGATTTGTCTCCATCGTCGCAAACAATTCAAATAATAGACTTATTACTGAGAGAAAACAAGAACAACATCTATTCCATACCTGAAGATGTCTAGTAAAAATAAGAACTAATGCAACAGAAATTTATAAAAACAAGGATCTTTTCATTCATAACAGGTTCGGGGTTTTGTATATTATTTGGATTGTTTGCGACGATGGATTTCTCGCCAATTAAATCATTAACATTTTATTTGTTTTTGTATGAATAATTCATGAATTTGTAAATTAATTGCACATTTATTGAAATATAATTATATATACATTTATATATAAATACATATATACACATATTTCATATATATCTATATACATATTTATAAATATTGATTCATGAATATATATATATATATATATATATAAATATATATATATATATATATATATATATATTTATTAAAGACATTTTATGTTTAACGTTCTTTTTTATTGATACAAATTTAATAAATGCTCTGTTTATAATATTAAATAACATTTTATGAATATAAATTTTCATAGAAAAAATATGACAAGATTCGAACCTGCATCCTATACGGAACGTATTTATTTCATATATAATATATATATATATATATATATTATATATATAATATATATATATATATATATATATATATATATATATATATATATATATATATGTTTTATTTTATATATATATATATATATTTACTTTCATAAAATAAAATATATAATATATATATATATTAAGAAATATACACATTATGCTATATATATATATATATATATATATATATATATATATATATATATATATATATATATAAAAACACACACACAAAAATATATATATATGATGAACCTCCTGTTATTTGACGTATGTGGATCCAACGAACTCCTTCTGTTGGTGTCATATGTGTCACATCAGTCCCGTTAGTGACTAGCATACAAGCCCACATATTCTGCACCAGTGATGATCTTGGGACATAGCTATTAGGAATATTTGTTGTCTTTTTTTGTCTTTTGCCTCTTAGCCGGTCAATACAACTGATATCAAAATTTCTGATCCCACGCTGGCAGAAATATCTCCAATTATTTCTATCCTGGGCCACTCGCTCGAGGTTAGTGTGAGGCATTTAGCTAGTCATTATAACTGAGCCACAACCGTCCAACAGTCCTTTGTCCATTGTCAATATATATATATATATATATATATATATATATATATATATATATGCAAGACTATATGTATAGTATTCGATAAAGCGAATCGAGTTCTCTGTGTGTTTATCTAAAAATAAATACGATTAAACTCGCCTGCATTCCTGCCGTACGCCAACGGATTAGAGGTAGAATATCCGACTGACGCCAATTTTCATCCGGATTTCGATTCTAGCTACAGGCAACCGGACGTACAGTCTCACTGATGAGCTGTGATACAGCGAAACACTCTGTCTGTGGATTACTGTATATATGTACATGTCTCTCTTTATATATGTGTGTACGTTTTGTTTGGAACTTATTCTAGCGCGTCGTTTTCATGAAATTTTGTAACCAATGA